CTTTGATTATCCCCCACATTAATATGTGTACTCTGATTTGTAAACAAAAGAACTATAGATATGGTGCATGTCATTGGGATGATTTAGTGGTGGAAATTATTAGTGTGCCACCCCCCCCAAGTTTTGACTGTGGTTTCCTATGTGCTCCATATATATTGTTCATAGAGTTGCCACTGCCACCAGGTTGCAACCTTTTGAAGAAACTTGCAGAACAGGATAATGAATCTAATGGGGTTTATTCACAAAACTGTAAATTGTAGTGATCTGCAAAATTTAGGTTACATCAGTCAAGTTGTGACTATAGTTGGGTTGAATTTTTTTTTTCTGGAATCAATATCTTTTTTCTTAACTTTATTATTTACTTTTCAGTTTACTACAGCTTGGCGATTAATAAATGAATCCAGATCGCTAACCTTTGTTTAAACATTTTATTTATAGCAATGCAGTACAGCAATACACAGTAATAAGCATAAAATGGTAATAAAACAAAATCACATGCATAGTCAATCTTTTACAGTACAGACTGCTAGTCTATTATGAACCAATTCCTCTTTCAATATCTAAAATGAGTAACAGATGGAAAAGACACAAAGTTATTCCTTATTTTTATACCTAAATTTCAATGTTTAGTTCTCCATGAGTCAGCATATATGGGGTTATTCACTACAGTGTGAATTGCTGGGAATTCAAAGTAAATTCCAAGTGAATTTCAATATTTAGGCCAAAATTGCCAAAGCAAAAACCTTTTTTCCTGTTTGGATATTTGTTTGGCTATACTCATTTAGAATTCACTTTTTCTCTAAACATGTTATAGAATTATGCCCTTAACGTAGTATTGTGGCACATTTACACTTCATTAGTAATTAGTCATGTTAGTACTCCATTTCAATCCATAAATATTATTATATATTGATTCCCTGCTTCAGTTCTGGCATATCAGGTCGTACAAGTCTAACTGTATGTCTCCATTCATAGCAGAATACAATTCAGCTACAGTATCATGCCCAAATGGCATTTAGTTCAATGCTGCCTTTTGTATATTGTGTTAATAAAAAGGAATGCAGAACAAAGGATGTTCTATGACTATTAATATTATTACACAAAGTATTAACTTCTCATTAAATGTGGCCAATTTCAACATGATGGGGGTTATACACTAAACTGGAAACCGAGGGGAATTGCAGAAGAGACTGGACATCCTGTAATATGATACCTGAGCTGGATAACTTTACCAATTAAAGGACCACTATAGTGCCAGGAAAACAAACTCATTTTCCTTGCACTATAGTGCCCTGAGGGTGCCCCCACCCTCAGGGTCCCACTCCTGTGGCGCTGAATCCCATAACTTTTTTCCAACACCGGGCTCCCTCGGTGCTGGGACTCTCCTCCCTCTTCTGACGTCCGTGGCTGAATGCGCATGCACGGCAAGAGCCGTGCGCGAATTCAGCCAGTCTCATAGGAAAGCATGCTCAATGCTTTCCTGTGGACGCTGGCATCTTCTGACTGTGAAAATCACAGTGAGAAGCACGGAAGCGACTCTAGCAGCTGTCAATGAGACAGCCACTAGAGGCTGGATTAACCCATAGTTAAACATAGCAGTTTCTCTGAAACTGCTATGTTTACAGCAAAAAGGGTTAAACCTAACTGGACCAGGCACCAGACCACTTCATTAAGCTGAAGTGGTCTGGGTGCCTATAGTGGTCCTTTAAGACATAATCAAGTGGATTTTATTTTGCAAAATGTTATTCCTTTATCTTTCCAGATATGTACAGAAATAATAGACTTGTTGGGGTAGCTTACACTGCACTCACAGCCTTTAATTGCCTTTCAGATTTCTTTAAAATATCCCAATTATGAGGGAGGTTGACAACCTCCCTCATGCCTCTATCTCCCATACCTTGGGTAGTGGCATGTCTAGTAAACAGCAAGCAGCCATTGGCTATTGCTGCCCAGACACTAATACAATAAAGGGGGGACTTGACACAAGTCCACCAGCTCCCACGGTGGGGCTACAAATAATTAACAAAGCAGGGGGAACATAGTGTTCCCCTTCAGCCACTACCCATGAGTGGTGGGTGGGAGCGCTAATTATGATAAGACCTAATATGCTTTCTAGCCTCCACCAATGTTAGATGGTTGGGGCTAATAAAACACATAGGGGCTGAGTGGATGACATTAGGACCCCCTTCCCTATGGTATTAATAAAAAGAAAAAATATGGAGCGAAATCTCTTAATCCATCTAGAGGTTATTGACTGATTAAAAAAACAAAATAAGGAAAGGCAAGAAAACGGAGAAGAACAAGGATTTAATTGACTCTCCAAAAATCTAGCTACACTGTCTTCATGCTTTGTGCACAATTTGTGCACAGGTATACTTCTCAATATGTTCTCACTCTCTATAACAAAATGCATGTAAATATTCACTGGGAGCTAATGTTTTAAAACTGTGCCATCAAAGCCAGCAGGTAAAAGAATACTTTTCTACCTAGAGGGTTGAGTTGGAATGGGAAATGCCAATGCAAGAAATGTTCTCCATGCCCAAAAACCGTCTGCAAAAATCGCTTTGTTGAGGTCTTTCAAATGTGTTGGGAGTCTCTGGAATAGTATGTCAATTTGCATTACAATTACATATGAATCAAATTATGGTGTTACTATGAATGCATTAAAGTACTCATTTTAACTCCTTAAGGACCAAACTTCTGGAATAAAAGGGAATCATGACATGTCACACATGTCATTTGTCCTTAAGGGGTTAATATGAATGGAGTTTCAGTAACTGGTGAGTGTTATTGATTTACTTTGCTAGCTTGATGACATGATGGTATCCAAGTATTGTCATCCCTGAAAAATAGATTAATTCTGTGATCCAATCTCTATCTATAAACCTGACTAAAAAACTGGTTTTATATGAAAAAGTTTAGCAAAGGATTGAATCATCATATCAGATAATTCACCAAACTGAGATGACCTTAATTCCATTAATATTAAGCGCATTGTCCTTTTCCAAAGAATCTCTCTTCTTTTATTGTGTGAGATACTCAGCTCGCTTTTGTTGATTAAACCCATACTCTTTTAAATGCTAATTTAAATGTATATCGAAGAGCAAAGTTCATATGAGAAAAACAAAGTAGCATGTAATTACATTAATTGCCTATTATGTTAGGAATAATTCACATTGTTCCCAAAAGATGGAACATGTAGATCAGAGAAATAGAGACCGTGGCCTGGATTGATCAAAGAGCTCTATGCTTAACATTCCTAGAATATGTCATTATAGCCTGTCATATTACTTCAAATTAAACTGGCATGTTAAAGGGATATACATGAACTATAGCATAGCATAATACGAAGTTATAAAGTAATGTAACCTTATCCAAGACATTACATCCATTAATCTGTCTGTCAGACGATCTATCCAGGTCCCAAAGCCTTAAAAAAAGCTGAAACAAGCATGTATATTTTATATGCACTGAATACACTTTTTTTCTAATGACATTACCTGGCCTTTCTGGTGGTGGTGTAGAGGAGAGAGCCATAAACCAACAAAAGGTGAGGGAGAGTCACCCATTATTATAGACTCCAAAGCTGGTAGAACAGAACCATTCCATGTGTTCTGTGAAATGTGAGTTGGCATTTAAAGTAATAAAAGTGTGTCTGTGAATTAAAATTTCCTCTTTGTTTTTAGACTATCTGAACTACTGTATATTTATTTTTTCTTTTGACATATGCTGTGAGCAATCTGCCCAAGAAGATATTTTGGTTTTATATTGGCACTTTATATTGGGGTAGTTGTATACACTTTTTCTGTGTGGTTACACACTAATAGAAGCACTTCAGAAATTTACAGAATGTAATGTTGCACTTTGAAAAGCACTTTTAAAAGTGAGATTAATTGTGAATTTAAATATAAACTGGGTTGCACTTTTTGATGGTTAGGCACGTTATGTGACAATTTGTAAGGCACTTATTATGTAGTGCACAGCAAAACTGTTATTTATGCACTCCACTCATTTCATTGTTTTCTTTTTAGCCATTTGCGCTTTAGATATTTGCTTAAATACTTTAGAGTAGGCTGAACATTATGGGAACAGAGTTCTCATATAGTGAATAAGTCTGTAGGTTGAGGCACTTCACATAAATTCATCCCCACATTAACATTCTGATGCTTCACAGAAATAAACATCCACGCCTGCATTCGTCACTGGAATACAACCCCATGTCAACGCATTGAGGCTTTACAGGAACTACCCTCCCCCCCCCACATTCACACAATCACGCCCAGAGAAATACATAGAGTGTTTGGAGTGTATCTCTGCATGGGAACAGATTGGGGGTACAGCAATTGGCTTAGTAAGGGACCCCAAGAGTTCTAATGGCATCCCTAATGATGAGATTTAATGGGATTATAGAGATAATGTGGTAAGGGATGGAAATTAGTGGGGGGTGGGGCTATGGGCAATGATGGGCTGATAGTATTGTAGTGGTTATTGGGCTATCGTACACTGAAAGCATGCACAATACACACAGCTAACAATTACATCACACACTGCAGTGCCAACACACACAGCACAAATATCACAGCCACACATCACACACACTTGCGACCACTCACATCATGTAAAGCTTCTAACCGAAGCTTTGCATTTCAGCTAACCCTGAACTGAAGTATGTGCAACTATTTAAAGTGAACTAGAATTCCATGTCATTTGTCAGAGAAATAGAACATGCCTCAGCAATATTTACTCATGCATTCTCTTCTAGATGGATAGATAGAATGTATTTTTAATCAGCTTTTACTTAAATACGATTTATATTGGCTTTATGACAAAATGTCCATCAAGCTTTCCTCTCTGTTTACCAGTATACACATACAACAAAACCTCTTTAAAAAAAGATTAGGCAGTAAAATAAAAATAGGTTGTGCCACAAAGACTTTAGAATAAAGTTTTTTCATCTCAGCCTATTCTTATTTTACTGTTTATTTTCCTTTTTGGGGTTTGTGAGGGAGCCCCATACATTAGGTTTGCTACCCATGCGTATAAATTCACAAAAAGTAAAACGTGAATAACGGAAGGTAGCAGGCTCAGGTGCTAACATTATCACTAGAGAATGCCTACCCCATTTTGGCTGAAAAAGGGGCAAATCTGCCGCAAATTGACAGCTTGCCTTTCACACACAGATGATTCACTGCTTCCCCTGGCTGTGCCCCGCTCCAACATCCCTCCATGCTGACCGTGAAGAAGATAGAGAGATGGAGAACCAGCAGGAGAAAGAGCGTCAAGGTAACTAGCATGGGCACCCTGGCGGGGAGGGGGGTTGGGAGATTACCAAATATGAAATACAGTATACCCATTGCATTTTTTTGTTGGCTACTATACATAGGATTACATTAGTGTTCATGTTGTTTTGCCTGTAGTATATCCAGTGCTGTGTAGATCAGCCAAGTACATGTAAAGGTTTGCGTGTTTACAGAATACCCAGAGCCGTGTACAGCAGTGCTTCCTGGATAACCAGCATAGTCTATCCCAATCTGTATACACAGTACTGTTCATTTAGAGTTCTATGAACATAGAGTGGTTGCATTACAAGAGTAAACATGTTTTGTGTTCCTATGCAATCCTAACTGAAAAAACTGATCAGTGTACCTGGAGTGTACTATGATCAAAAATAATTTCTAGATTTGTGTGTATGTAATAAACACATTTGTTTCCCTTTTAATTAATTATATGACTGTGTACAGGAATGAACATATTGGTGGTTATTCATGAATGTGCAGAATATAATTTATTTATTTTTTATTTATCTTGTGGATAGGCATGTGCATGGGAAAAATTTTCGGTTCGGTCCGGCATTCCGAAATTCGGGACTTCGGCACTTCAGAACCTCGGCACTTTTGTAATTTCGGAATTTCGGGACCTCTGCACTTTGGGACTTCGGAATTTCAGAACGTCTCTTGCAGCCGCTTAGTAGATAACTCCCTAATTCCCACGGTATTAGGGAGTTATCTACCAAAAGGCTGAAAGATCTAAATTGGTCTTTCAGCCAAATTTACTAATACTAAGTAAAAATTACTTAGTATTAGTAAATTGTGCCCCTACTCGCTATACTGCGAGTAGGGGCATGTCTATTAAACAGTGAGCAGCCAGTGGTGGGTGGGGGCCCTAAAATACTAATTAGGGGGGGACCTAATGTCCTCCCCCCTGGCCCCCACCCCTGAGCGGTGGGTGGGGGCCCTAAATACTAATTAGGGGGGGGACCTAATGTCCTCCCCCTGGCCCCCACCCCTGAGTGGTGGGTGGGGGCCCTAAATAAAAAAAATAAACTCCCTCCCCAGGGTGACTAGGGGTCCCCAAGCCCCTAGTCACCCCCTCCCCCAAAAATTAACCCCTACCTACCCCCCTCACCCTAAAAATAATGAGGGGGAACCATTTAACGAAGTACCTGAAAAAAAACAACTTACCATTTGATGTTTTCGTTCTTCTAAAATCTTCTTTTTTCAGCCCCCAAAAAGGCCAAATAAAAAGCCATAATAACCGACGCACTTTAAAAAAAAAAAAAAACGAGCACCAAAAAAAAACAATCTTCACCCGGCGAGGGCTCCGCGCAGACTGAGCTCTGCAGGGCGGGGGAAGGCTTATAAAGCCTTGTCCCGCCCTGCAATTAGGCTCAGAGCACTCTGATTGGTGGGTTTAAGCCATGCAATCAGAGTGCTCTGACAGGTAAATGAAGAGACTGACAGGTAAGCCTCTACATTTACCTGCCACAGCACTCTGATTGGTTAGCTTGAAATCCACAGCGATAGGTCCCCCCTTCAGGTTAGGAGGGGGAGAGGGGACGTTTTTTTTTTTTACAGTGAGCAGCCATAGACATGCCCCTACTCGTGGTATAGCGAGTAGGAGCATAATTTACTAATACTAAGTAATCTTTACTTAGTATTAGTAAATTTGGCTGAAAGACCAATTTAGGTCTTTCAGCCTTTTAGTAGATAGCTCCCTAATACCGTGGGAATTAGGGAATTATCTACTTATTCATTCCTGTCATTACATTGACTGGCTAAGTAACTTACATTTTATATGAATGTATGTTACTTGATTGTTGTAAGTGTTGCAAATGCTTACAGCTGAATCCTGGCTATGTTTGTATACTTTTTATTTAAAATTGTATACAGTGTAACATTCTTCTTCTTCCACTGGGTAAGTATATTAGTACTTAGGCAATACTGTGCTTCAGCAACTTTGGAAATTCGGTAATTTCGGAACGCGGAACCTCGGTAATTCGGTACTACGGCTATTCGGACATTCTGAAATACCTGAATGTCCAAATTGCCCGAAATTCGTCCAAATTCATATTCGGCCCGAAACGAATTGCACATGTCTACTTGTGAACAGTGCACTGCTTGCATGTGTGCAGAGCCACCCTTTGTGTATAGGGATACATTCAGCTACATGCTCAGTACTTGGTATTCTGACTGCATACCAACCTATGTGAGCTTAATAGTTTCCATGTATTTCCCTTCTAAAGCACTGCTTTTATATTCAGCATTTATATTGCTTGTTATAATTTGTATATCATTTTTGTACTTGCATAATGCTAGTTTAGAGCTGCTGTTTGAGTTCATTACTTGACAGATTACATTAGTTACAAGTTATTTTCTGTCCAATTTTGGTGTGTTACTTTCAATAAAAGTGTGGTTATTTATTTTATTGTCTTGTAGTTTTTCATATTAGATTAATTAAATTCATTAAAAATATTTATAAAAATTATAGAAAAAACTATTTTAAAATCATTTGGAGAAAAAAGTAATTTTCAGTTTCGGTTTTCGGCCAAGGGCATCCTGAATGTTCGGTTTCGGCACAGAATTTTCATTTCGTTGCATCCCTAATATATCACCACAACTTGTGAGATAGCACAGTTCATTATATCGTTCAGAGGTTCATAGTATTAGCTATTGATTTTGTCAATTAAAACAGCTAGACCCCCAGGCATTACTTGAATTCTAGTAAAACATAAACAGATCCTTTGAGGGTAAATATTCTAATATTATTATTTCCTCTTGGATAGTGTTGCCAGCTGCACCTCCTATTACATTACTGACCCTTTTCTAAAACTCAGTCTCTCAAACACAGATATTCTTGATTTCCCTCCTTCAGGGAATGCGTTCCATTTGAATATGAAGCAGCCCTAGAGCTGTGAATGTGGGAGTTGGAAGCAGAGTGAAAAAGAGACCAGAAAAGGTTCATGGTCAGACCCAAGGGACCAACTAGTTTGTACTTGCTGATTAATGAGGGTTTATTTAGGAATTTCCCTAGAGATGCACCTTGTGCTCTTTTCTTTGTCAAGTTATTTGTTTCGCTGAAATCAGCTTAGTTGTTTCAAAAGGAGAGAAGCAGTCATAGAATCACACTGTATACTGATCTCTGCAAGTGGTCCCTACACCAGGCTACATTGATTTGTGTAATATGCTACCTAAAAGGTGTTTAGGATCTACCTATCTGGGTACTCATTCTTTCCATACAGAATGTATTTCTAGCCCGGACATTATTAGAGACTACATTCTCACTTATACAAAACCACCAATGGACAGGGTAGACATCTTCTACCAACTAGTTGCAATGGGCTGCATGTCCTATTCTCTAACTGTATTGAAGTTTTATGACGGCTGACTCCTTCGATCACCAAATCCTGTTACCCTTCCATTCCCATTAAGTAACGCAACACCATGTTAAGTGGGTAAGGACAACAGCCACAGCTTTATTTAAACCAGCATAACCAAATACTGTCAGCTGCTGTTTTTACCCAGCAGACAGGTACACTTTAAACTTCTTCCAGAGCCTCTTCAGCATGTCCTTCGACATCAACCAAAGTGTATTCTATTGTAGCTAATTAGCTGGAAGGCAGACTACGTGAGAAGGGATACATATTCCACATTATTTTATGGCTACATATAAATAAGAAGACTTACTTATCTGTTCCTCAGAAATCGTCAATCAAAACAATGTTATAAAGAAATGCAATTGTCCATCATAATATTCTCTTTAAATAGTTTTATTATTGTTTTTCTTTTAATAATTAACCCCTTTACAATAAATATCATGCTGAGAATGTAAAAAAATATCTATCGCTAGAGCAGTGGTGTTAACATATTTTGACTACTTAATTACATATATGGCATTACATTGGGCAACCCATTCTTCAGTTTTGAATTGTGTATATCAAACAACATAGATTACATAAAACACTTCTTTGTCATACTATGGAAGCCACTGCTGCTATGGTAAACCATGTGTTTATTATACACAGCTGCCTCTTCCAGTCTGTGGGAATCCAGTGAAACAGCTTGGACATCAGTTTATGGGGTTAGAACCACCAGTATAAAACACTATACAGTCCTGACTTAAAGTTAAAGACAAAAAAGTAATTGGGGGCACACCCGGAACATGTGTTTTGCAGGAATGGTGTTGTCAAAGCGACCAAAATATATACGTAATACATATTAAGGAACAGCGCACACGTGGCCATAATGTGTTAAACCCATCAGTGGGGGGGAAAAAACTATTCAATTTTTTTTATCACATTCATTTTAACATTGCATTCATTTTGCATTATATATTCACAATATTCTTAAAACAGATTATTAAAATACACTTTAGCATTAGGACTACTTAATTTTTCTCCGACGTTAGATTTAGTGTAGGACCCACCGGTATTGGGGTACTGTGAAGTAGTGGTGGGCTTAACATAATATGACCATATGGTGGAACTGAATCACCATATTTGTTTAATAAGATGGGTGATTTTAAGTAACCTTATAAAATGTCAAAATGTATTTTTATGTGTGCACTGTTCCTTAATCTGTATTATTGATTTCAAGCTGTGTCATGAAAGTATGTAAGACATGATCACTGAGTAAACCTTGAGTCTGACTACTCCGAGACCTGGACTGTCAGCATCAGCCTTTCCCCTTCATTTCCTTGCATTATTACACTTAAAGAAAAATTCTAGACTTGAGTTCACCTCTCGTTATAATGCTTAAAAAAATACAAATGAAGTATACCCACGCTGTCCTTTTTCTTTTTTTCTAATGTTGCAGTTTATATATAAACCAGGGAGTGGCTGAAATTTCCCAAATGGTGTTGAGTTCCTTATTTCAGCAGTGGAGCTTTCAAACAGATTATACCACTCTTCCAACTCACAGAATGAAACATATACGGTTACCATATCATACTATTTCAGCAATGTATTAAGGTCCAAGTCAAAATG